AATATGTATCATACAGCACCATATTTATTCTACCTACTTGTTAAATTTGCTTAAAGTGCCCACTGTGATTTGTTTGGCAGAACATACTTCTTTTTCCGTAAAAGTCTCTTCTGTGTCTTACAGTGTTATCTATTGTTTGAACTGTGCCAGGAAAAAAGAAAGCATTGCATTTCTGGTTGTTTTTTTCCTGTCCTTATTAACAGAGGTTAGCTGATAGTGGAAATATAAAACAGCATTATTATGAAGTCATTCAAGAAAATTGAAATCTGAAGAACACCTATTAAATAATAAATATAAATTAATAATCATTGTATAAATATAGTTTTTACATTTAAGGGATATTTTCCGATCAATATGTGAGAATCTGGAGTGTTTAATCGTTATATTCTTTCAGATCATTTTCATTCAGTAATGAGCTTAAATTACAGAATATTTTACAATCGCTCCTAACAAATTATTTGCTGATACACTATCTGCCTAGCAGTGGAAAAATTTGCAATATCAGTAACATAGCTTAAAGAGAAGATCCCTTTAGCCACATGTTTTTCAAGAATAAATAAATATTGCTTATTCAGGTACTAGCTTGCAACCTAAGCAGAAATTAAAGCAATAAAGATTTAAATAAATATTAAAATAAATATAAATCTATTATTTTAAGATAAAGAAGTCCATAATGTTCTTTAGAATAGTTTTGAAGTCTTAAAGTTAAACCTAAAAATACTTGTAGTTCATAACTGTTTCTGAATTTTTGCCCCATTTAAAACTACTGAATTTGCCAATAAATTTTGAAATGTAACTCACTATGTCATATGATGTTGGAACTCTCTTTTTCACCATTTCACAAACTGAGAAAAATTATTTTTTTCATCAAGAAATCTTAAACAGGACTTCTTAACATATCAGTTTTCATTATTTTTATGTATTTATAGCAAGAGAAATACATATGCAGAGGTACTCATTGGGCCACAAACCCTTTGATTCAGGATTCAATATTACTGTTACGTGCATACTTAACTTAGTAAACAAAAGGAGTTATAGATTGATTAGTTTTAATTTGTACAGCAGAAATATTAATTGATATTAATAGGAATATGTAACTTCAAAAAATTCATTGTACACTTTGAATAAAGACCATAAGCAGCTCGTGAATAATTCAGGTTCTTTAAAAAGGTATTTCAAAGTTAATAAAATCTGTTTGCAGTTATACCACTAGAGACGTTAAATTCTTATTAAGTAACTACTGAAATACCTATCTTCCAGAACAAATTGATCTACCTGAATATTTGACTATACCCATGCACCAGGATTTTCTCTTCAGACTATATCTAGAAATTTTAAGCTGCCCAACTCCTCCAGATCTTTCAACTACCTTATAAAGCATTGCTGGTTTCTGCCCATTAACTTGACTGCTGGAGAATAAGGTTGGTTTTTGGCAGTATCTCCTCCCTGGCAATCCCCCGAATCTTTCTCAAATGTTCCCTAAAACTTCAAGTGCTTTTAGACTAAAAGATAATCTATGGGTCCCTGGGGCTGCAGGGCTTTATGAAGCCATATTTAAATAAGGTTTCAAATTTTTTGGTTTCTTCCCTCAGCACCAAGGACTGCAGGACACACTGCTTAGTTGTCCTATACTCCAAAACAAATATCTCTTTGTATATCCAGTGGGATAAGGTTAGCTACAGCACTCAGAAAAAATTGCTGTGTTTGATGCTTTCACAAAATCTTTCATCTGTAGAGATACTAAAATGTTAGAAAATAAAGGTACATTAGTCTTTTAGAATTTACTCACTCTTCATAGATGTTATTATGTTATCTAATGCATTATGTACATGTATGAATTATTAGACATGTTTTTCCCCTTTCTTATAAAAATGATGTCTAGCTTCCATTTTTTTCATATATTAAATCTTGTTTTGCCCAGATTAAGAGTAATTTTCACACTGTTTGGAACAGGTTTGATAAAAATGTTAAAGCATTATACTGGCATTAGATACTATACTGTGAAGTAAAAAATGCCTTGCATTGGTGTGAATCGTGACACTTATGCCAGGTATAGTTAAGCCATCCATTCTCATTCAGTGCTACTCCAAGCACTGAATGAGAATAGATATTGCATATAATGTTACACCATCATATGCTCCCACTTAAACACGTGAATGCATTTAGATTGCTTTGGGGGTCCTTGGAAAAAAATATATTATTCTTCAAGATATCCTTTTGAAATTATAATTTTCTTTTGCTAGGATAATCATCCTAATGGCATCTAAACTCAGAGAAATGTGCACCCTTCATTTCTTGTTCCCATAAAACTAGATTCGAGATTTTACTGAAGCACACCACTACCTCATTCCCTTCCACTCATGCAGCCAAGTAGGAGGAACAGGATACAATGGCCTGGATACAGAACACATCTCAAGGCACAATCAGGATGTGATCACAATGAGTTCCAAGTTTCTCCACTCTAGCCATATTCACAAAAGGCAACTTTGGTGGGGATTTCCCCTTTTCACCAAAACTTTGTTTGAGGATTTATTTTATTAATCTAACCTTTGTTTTTCATATGATAATCCTGCCTTCTTACCCTTGGGAGACTAATTTCAGTACACCATTAGGACTTTCACTATAGCTCACAGCACAAAGATCCACTGGAATTAATTATAAGGTGAACAATGCTTAGTTCTTAACAGTTATGTTCCTATTTCAATTAAATCAGATGTCTCATTAGGATATAAGTTTAAATTAAAATGAAAAAAATTATATCTCAAATAGGAAAGTTAAGAAAATGTTGATGGTCAATATGAATACACTAAGATGTCCATACTGTTTTCAATTACTTCTTGAACTTAGTCCTTTAAAGTAAAGAAAGAGGGTTTAGAAAGGAATGGCTCTGAAGCAATAAATAAGATCTCTACATTCATCAGAGTTAAGAAATAATTGAGCTTTCTTGAGACTGATGCACACAAAAGGAACATAAGTACCCTTAACTGGTCTATCAGGACTGAAATAAATCAAATTATAGCTACTTTTAAATGCTGGTTACTCTGGTTAAGCTTTAGTAAATTTGCAGGAAAAAAACTCATAACTAATTAATCCTAATGAAGAGCATTCCAATTAGGTAGAGTGGAATTTTATACTGAAAATCTTAAATCCTAGCTGAGGCAAAGGCATCTTTTAATAATTGGCCCCTACCATTATTTCTGAAGCAGGATCCTAACATTATTCTGGTGGATCATAATATTATTTCTTGCACCTATTTAAAAACAAAACAATAATCCTACAATCATGAAAAGTTCTTCTAACATCTTCTAGCATAAGTAGAGAATCTGCCTTTATGTCCTAAAGCATGATGTTTGAGCTCAAAACAATGCACAGTAGTTGAACAGTAGGAGGAAAAAAATCATGGCTATCCAGTAGGGTTTGAAATGTTATTCTATATGCACATATTTCCTCTGGTCCCTCTCTGTGATTTCTGTATCAATGTTTCCATAATCCCACCACACAAACCATCAGCCTACAGTTGAATGGCCTTTAAATCACTGACTTTCATATTGGACTCTCAAGGTACATTAGATTCAGTGTGGTTGATTGTTTCAACTAGAAACAATTTTGCCCTTGTGAATAGCCAGCAAGTTACATGTGACAGAAGCAAATAACTGCTAAAATGTAACACTGTAAAAACATAGAGTATCAAATTTCCTAAAGTCTTACTGTAATAAATGAAGAATAATAAAGCTGTAAAATTTAGGACTGTATATCTTCAGAAAACACTGGCATTATTTACACATTAGCTGCAAACATAATTTTCTTGACATGATTCTTTGTTTACTCCTGCTTATAGGTGATAATTTGCCTCAAAAATGCAGTATATGGTTGTAGCAGGATGCTCTGCCCTGAAATGGGGACAAACTTGCTCTGATCTGTAGTCATTTCACCCTGGTCCCTTGTATATATTAGGGTGCTTATGGTTTTACAGAAAAAAAAAACAAAACCCAAAAAAAAAAAAAAAACACCAAAAAAGAACAAAAAAAACCCCAAAAAACCCCCAAAAAAACACCTTCCATGTTATTATATCCTTCAGAGAGTAGCTGAAAATTACTTACATGAATGTAAAGCTTCATTAGTTAATGTCAATCTACCAACATGACATTGGCAAAAGATGTTAACCAGGGAAGCTCCACTGTGCAGCAATGAACAGACACCAGAAAATTATTTGGTAGTTTCTATCTTTTCTAGTAAAAAATGTAAGTTTGCCCACCTTCAGGTGCTTCAGCAAGGGTTCACCAGCAGAGACCAACTTTGGGGGTGATGTGGGTAGAGAGGTAGTGAAGGAAGAAGAGGAGAAAGAGGGGTTGGAGTGACCCTGGGCCTCCCCCCAGCAGTATTGGTGTACCCAGTACAGACTGTGGTGCTCAGCTGTGCCCCCACTGGAAACATCTGCATTCCTCACCTGGCTGGACAGCATCTGGAGGAGGCAATGGGTTTGGGTCTAGCTGGGAGAAAACTGGGGGTTTTGGGGTTTTACCTCCCAAGGACAGTGGGGTGGGTATGGGGGAGCTGTAGGATATTTTGAGGAGAGATGGGATCACAGGGATTGTCAAGAGAGGTCGGTGAGGGGTTGTGATATTTTTTGGGAAGGCATCCCAAGGTATGGATGTACAGGGACCAGGGCTGTATTGGGGTGGGGTAGAGGGCAGCACATTTGAGGCGGGGGGAGTTTTGAGGAGAACATTGAGTTAGGGTTCAGGTTGGGGTGTTCCTTTCAAAGGTTTCACAGTGGAGCTAGGCCAGCTGTTGCTGCAGCTCTTATGCTCTCCTGATGGCACCTTTTCTCCCTTGAACTTTCTCAATGCTGCTCCTTTGTCTATCTCCGTGCCTGATGTAATTCTCTTTCTGCCATATAACTAAAGTAAATAACATTTCCTAGAGGGCTTTTTCAGTTGCTCCATTTCCTTTTCCAGCCTGCTGGCTGTTGGCTTGGTTTTGTTCAGCTGGTTTCTCACCTGTCAGAGATGTCCCCACTGACCCTTTCTTGCACTTGAAGTCATTGCTCACATGCTTTCAACACTTGCACATCGACACTTTCTGATGTCTGATGGCTCCCAGGGCTCAGGTGGGAAAAGGGTGAATCAGACCTTGACGTTGGTACTCAGCCTCTTACATCTTCTGCCTATTCAGAGTTAAAGAATGCAAATTGAGAAAAGTTAGGAAATTAACTCAAAACAGGAGACAGAGACAGTGGCAGCATTACATATAACCAGAAAAGAACTGTCACGAACTTGACACCAAATTCTGTCACCAACTTGACACCAAATAATAGGAGTTTTCAACAATTCTAAATTAGCATTATTCATGGGAAAGCTTATTTTGCCTTAGTGTGTTATACAATCCTAAAAGGAGGACTGTAAAATCTTTGCTTTTACATACCCCCAAAGCTTTCGCTAGCCTTGATGGTTTCTAGATACAGCTCATCCTGTTCTTTGTCCCAGAGCTCATTGTTTCTCCTGCTCCTGAAGGACACAGGTCCATCTGCACCCTATTGCACTCAAGCACCATCAGGTCTACTTCTTGGCCCAGTGGGAACAGCCACTACACCACCTTGCCTCACCTCACCAGTCCCTAGGGGTTTGTAACAGGCAGGACTCGCCTGGTGGTGCCAGATACCACCGGCAAAATGAGGAGCCAAGCTCCTAAGTGCAACTGGGCACTGGCAGCTGCCTGCAGCATTAATCACTATCAGGAATTCCACCAGCACAGCACAACCAGCACCACCCTGGACCCCTGGATATGTCTGTTGGGTCTCCAAACCCCCCTTAATGTGCCTTTCAGGGGGCAGGCTACCACGCAATGTGATTTTCTGTGGGTCACAGATTTCAGGATGAACCTTTTGGCTTCTACTCATACCCCATTGTTTTTTTTCTACTATGATGTTGATCATAACTTAATAAAACATAAAGCTTTTTCCATTTTAACCAAAGTTTCAGCATTGGGTTTCTGAATGAAAATACCAGCTATGGGTTGAAGACCGTTCTTCTACCTTCTCCTGATGACACATGTAATAAGAACAAAATCTCTAGATGTCTACTGCTTGTTTCCAGTTCTCTCCACACTTTTAATAACTACAAGGATTATTACATGGATTAAAGTACATAATATATTAAAAATTAGTAAATCTTTTCTTCCCAGTAAATTGCAACTGAATATGAAGCAGAAAGGTTTTATAAACAATATAAATTAGTGTAGCTTAATTTTTCATACCCATGAGCTTTATACTGTATGTATTGCTGCAGCTTCACAGTACCATGCATTAGCATCAGTATGTCCAGAGAGGATATCAAAATTAAGGTCTATGACACATGATTTTAAGTAGAAGTGCTGGCAGCAAAAACAGCCTCTAGCACATTAAGGAAAATATGGTTTTAGAGCAGTGAGAAAGTCCTCACTTTATGATGCTTATAGAATATATTAGTCTGTAGAGGCTGCATCATATGCTTGGTCACACAAAGAAATTGCCTTTAAAATTGACAGACAATCTACACAGTTTGGAATGAAGAGTTATGTGTATGAAGATATGACAGATCTATGATCATTATGTCTAGGAAGTAGGATACTGTTTTTATTTCTCCTATTTTGGAAAAAATTGCAGCAGAAGTTTTAAAAGTACAGAACATTCATCTTTGTACAAAGAATTCCCACAGGCTTCAATCAGTAAAGTATCTTAGGTTTTTATTAAATTAACTCTGACTTCTTCATGTTTGTAATGACAAAACAGCAGTAAAATCAATTTAGTGAGATTTCTTTCTTTTCTTCAGCATAGGAAGACAGAAAAATATATATGACATATAAGATACATAAATAAAAATGGGGGAAAATGTTTCAGCAAGAAGGAGGAAACCTTAGGTTTAGAGGGTTCTTTGGCAAAAGTTATTCACTGATAATAAATACTGGATGTTTGAAGAAATGATGAGACAAATGGAGAAAGAGCAGATGTACTGCTCCATAAACACCAGAATGCAGAAAACAAAACATTGTCTCAACTTTTTTTTCTTTGGCTCTATTATGAGCTGCAAGTGTTATGAAATGTGAAGATTCACACATTCCCTAAGATCCTTTGAATTATCACAGAGACAGGCTAACTCTGCCTATTAGGGGAAGGAAGTATGTACTGCCGCATTTCATTTATTTTTCATTCTGCAACTGCGAGAAGACCACTGCCCTTTCCAATTGCAAGTAATAACAGCATATCTACATGGTGTGCTTGTAGGGAGATTGAGTCAAGCCTAATGACCACAGGAGAGTGACACAGAAAAAAACTGAAAATAATTAGTTCATATGTAGATTTTAACACGCACATTTCAAATGTCTAATAATTCTAGTTAATTACATTTATGAATTCTAAAATGCGCATAACATTATATTCAGAAAGAAAGATGCCTTGATTCAGAATCACTTAACTTCTGAAAGAATATTCATGACCCTCCAGTACTACTATTTTAATGCTTCATTATGTGTTTCTCAAAACAAGGGTCATTACATAGGAAACAGCTAAATTAAAAAAAAAAAAAAAAGTAGAAAAAGAAAAAGTAAGTAAAAACTTTATCTGAAAATAGTTTCTTCTACACAGGTTAAAAATTGAAAAAAAATCCCCACATGACTAATTATTAAAGTTTATTTTTAATATAATGGTTTTAGTGTGACAGATGCTCATCAACACTCATTTTGGAGATGTCACTTTGAGTCAGATGGCTATTTCTGACCAGACAATTTGAAAGAAGTACCCTAATACTTGTTGATACTTAGTTGACTTAGTCTGAGTTGACTAACATTTCATCTTCATTCTGCAGATAGTAAATTTTTAGCCAATTGCTTGACTTTTAAACATGGATTTCTGTCAATTCTTAAAATAAAAACTCTTCTCAGGGTAAAATATCTGTGTGATTTTGCATCTCTCTTCCATTTGCCTGTAGAAGATGCTAATTTCATAATCCTTTAGTGGAGTGGAAAGAGGACCAGAGTTTTAGTGGGTCTCAGTTATCAGAAAAACATAAAAACCCATAAATTTTGACACATGTCCATGATCAGTCATTCTTGAATTCTATAAAACATACATTTCTAAAAAAGCACTCCTAAACTCTAGACAGAATAGATTCAATAACTGACATTCACCCATTGTCTCAGCTGCACACCCTCAAGCTCAACTCGTTTCCTCCCATCTGCTATAATATGACTGGATAGAAATGGGTGATTAAATGATCATGTGTAAAATGAACCCAAAAGGAAGAACTTGCAACACACAGAAATAAAGGATGCATGTGCATCCTTAGGGTAAGAGCTTTTTCAGTCTAAATTTGTCTGAATCTGGACCACATGTTGAAAGATCAAATAAGGTTACTTAAAGGCCTCTCAAAATTACGTCTGATCAAGAATGAGGTTGCAGAAACAATACAATAACTAAATTCCAGCTGGTGGTTCAGAATTTTACTTTTTCAGCCATAAGAATGTCTTTATTTCATCCTGCATACTAGAAACAAGATGTTGGCCACATGCAAAAGATGCATGTGTCTTCAGTACATTCACTGGCCTCAATTCTCTTCCTTCATTAAATTCAGATCAAACCTGTGAACTTGTCTCTATCTGTATCTTAATTTACACTCTCACATCCTCTTATCTCCTGCACTTTTGTTTTTCCTTATCCTTATCAATGTTTTACACATATATGTGTGTGTACATATTTTTCATATATTTGTATGAGTATTTATCCTTTTGTGTGCTCATACTTGTGCTCTCAGACATGTCATGCTCTATTTCAAAATTTGAGAGTAGTTTAGGATTGATAAGAATAACAAATAAGGCATAAGTCACCTGTATAAACTTCCAAATATATATTTGAAAGCATTAGGAGGCCTGTATTTTCTGATTAAATACAGATAAGGGAAAATACTTAAATTCTGAGATATTTTAACCAATGTAACTTGCAGTGATTTTCTATTCAGCTACTGTCTCATTTTCAGTCACGGACTCATTGCAGATTTCGTTAGTGAAATCTAAATGAGGCCTATGTACATATCTCCAGGCAGTCCTAATCAGGGCTTGGTCTTCACCTCTGCAGCAGGAAGACAGAAAATCATAACTCTCAGACTTAAGTGGATCACTTGTGGCCTATATATACTAAGGATTTATTCACAGTGTGAAGTAAGAGCATTCAATTCTCTCTTCAGCAGAGAGAGCTGGGAATCCTAAAAAATCACAGCTTGAATCAGAGAGAACACTTAGATATCTTTGACTTCCTGTGAAAGGCATCAGGAAAAAAGGCTAAGATTAAAACATATCTCACAGAATGAAAATGCTCAATCTTCACCATCTCACTTTGAACTTTAAAGTTTTTCTTTGGAGATGGGTGGGTAGGAAAAGTCCCTTAAGAAATGAAAGCTGCAATTTAAAGTACTTTACTGCAAGATATGATAAAATTACAATATTGATTTTTATTTAAGCAATAACTAACCTGTGCATTTCAAGAATTAAATAGCTTGGGTAACAGGCAGCTTTCTGATTTCAGCACTACATAAAATAGGAATAGAATTAAAATTTCTTTTTACTCCAGAAAAGAAGGAAAAAGGGCTTATTTCATAAAAAGTAACAAATTCCAAAGTCTTACAGAAGTTTTGGATACTTTTATATTATAAAATGTCCCCAAATACTGAAACTTCTTACAGAGGTTTTGGATACTTTTATCTTAAAATTGTCCCCAAATACTGAGCAGAATTTTTTTCAATGAAAAATAATTTTGACTGAAAAGTAAATATAAATTCTAGTACTTCTGATAGTAAGAAAAAATACTATTCAGTATAAAAAAGTACTTTTGCTGTAGCACAATCAAAGATGATTATGAAAGGGGAAATGTATGCAAGCCATACACAAAAACTTCCTGATACTTACATACATTATTCATAGCACTGATAGGAGTATTCAAACTAGCCTCACTTTTTGGATGATTCAAGGAAGCAACTTTCCACCAGTTATCTCATTATTGATCAAAAAACCTTTTGTTTGGCTGAAACACATCTTTGGAAAAAGTAATATACCCTTGTTAATGAAAGACAAATTCCATTTCCTTTTGCTCTTTCTCCAGTGACTAATCCCTTCACGGTTAAAATTTAGCTCAATTTATAC